GCATGATGGAAGTCCAGCCAGGAGAGAAATGCAGTAGTTCAGCCTAGAAGTGACAAGGGCCTGAACAAGAAGTTTTGCAGCATACTCCGTTAGGAAGGGCCTGATCTTTCTGTTGTTGTGCAATGCAAACCTGCATGATCGAGCGGTTTTTGCAATGTGCTCTTTGAAAGTCAGCTGGTCATCAAAGATTACACCAAGATTTCTGACCGAACTTGATCGAGTAATTGTTGATAAACCTAGCTGAATGGTGAAATTATGCTGTAGAGTCAGAGTGGCAGGGAAGACGAGAAGCTCAGTCTTTGCCAGGTTGAGCTGTAGGTGATTTATGTTTATGGTTTTATCCATGCCGAGATGTCCGGCAGCCTGAGATCTGTGCAGCTACTGTTGGATCATCTGGTTGAAATGAGAGATAGAGCTGTATCATCAGCATAGCAATGGTAGGAGAAACCATGTGCCTAGATGATGGGTCCCAGTGATGTAGTGTATATGGAGAAGAGAGGGGCTCCAATAACTGATGCCTGAGGAAACGCAGTGACCAGTTGATGTGCTTTGGATATCTCCCCTCCCCAGGCCACCCTGAAAGACCTACCTGTGAGATAGGATTCAAACCAGCGAAGTGGAATCCCTGTGATGTCCAGTGATGAGAGGGCAGACAGGAGGATCTGATGATTGACAGTGTCAAAAGCAGCAGATAGATCCAGCAGAATAAAAACTGATGATTTGGAATCAGCTTTCGCAATCAGCAAGGCTTCAGTGCCTGACAGTAATGCAGTCTCAGTTGAATGGCCACTTCTAAAACCTGACTGGTTAATGTCCAGTTGGTTATTCCGTGAAAGAAATAATGATACCTGGTTGAAAAGAACTCGTTCAAGTGTTTTCGCTATGAATGGAAGGAGAGAGACAGGTCTGTAGCTGTAACAAGTGAAATGTTTAATGTAGGTTTTTTTAAGCAGTGAGGTTAACCGAGCCTGCTTGAATGTGGTGGGAAAAATGCCTGTGAGAAGAGATCTGTTGATATGTGTGAGTACTGGTAAGAGTGTAGGAGAGATTTAATTGGAGAAGGTATGAGGGGATTGGTCTAGAGGGCAGGTTGTAGTATGGCTGGAGAGGAGAAGTTTAGATACTTCTGCCTCAGTGAGGGTACAGGAGGAGAAAAGAGTTTTAGTAGCGGATGTGGTTGGTTTGAGTTCCATTGTGCATGGAGCTGAGAACTGACTGCTAAGGGTTTTAGTTTTGTCTGTGAAGAATGTAGCAAGGTGGTGGAGGGAGACAGAGGAATTTAATGTTTTGAAGAGATTGCATGAGTCTGAAGCGCTGTTGATCTTGTTGTGGAAATAAGAAGATTTTGCAGTATGGACTTCAACAGAGAAAGATGAAAGACTGATATATAATCAGGTCCGACAGTTCTTTTGATTTGCGCCATTTTCTCTCTGCTGCCCTGAGTTTGGATCGATGTTCACAAACAACATCGGATAGCCAGGGGTTAGAAGGAGTAGCACACGCTGGCCTGGAGGAGAGAGGACATATACAGTGGGTACGGAAAGTATTCAGAAAAAATGTCAACAATTCTGTGTTTTTCTGTCAATATGGGGTGCTGTGTGTACATTAATGAGGAAAAAAATTAACAAATGATTTTAGCAAATGGCTGCAATATAACAAAGAGTGAAAAATTTAAGGGGGTCTGAATACTTTCCGTACCCACTGTATAGTCTAGACAAGAAGTTAAAGTGGAGCATGAAGTATCAGTTGCTGCATTTATATCCAGAGATGAGAAATGGGTGGGTGAGGGAAGAGAGCAAGACACTACAGAGGAAAGATGGGAGGCTGAAAGGGAGCGAAGGTTTCGCCTAAAAGTAACCAGTAGAGGGGTTGGTGGCACACTGGTAGTAAGATGTAGGCCTAGGTTAAATGTAATAAAGAAATGATTAAAGATGTGTAGGGGTTTTACCAAAATGTTGTTTGCAATACAATTGCATGTGTAAATTAAGTCAAGCTGGTTCTCTGATTTGTGAGTGCTTGTGGTGGTAAGCCGTTTGAAATCAAATGAAGCTTGGAGTAAGTGGAAGCCTGCAGTGTAAGGCTTCCCCAGATGGATGTTGAAGTCGCCAAAGACTACCAGTGGACTGCCATCCTCCGGGAATGAGGACAGAAGCCAATCCGACTCCTCTATAAAGGTGCCCAGTTGACCAGGAGGGCGATAAATTACTACAACATGGACAACATTTATAGGAGCTGTTACAGTAATAACATGAGATTCAAATGAGTTATTATTGCATAGGGGAGAGTGGGTTGAGCATTTCCAGTTGTTAGAAATGAGGAGACCAGTATCCCACCTGTCCCAACCTGACTGGGCGTGTGAGAGAAAGAGTTGTTAGAGAGAGCAGCAGGGGTTACTGAGTCTTCTGGACAAATCCAGGTCTCAGTCAAGCCCAAGATACTAAGAGTGGACTGAGAAGCAATTGCAGGAATGAAGTCTGTTTTGTTGACAACTGACTGACCATTCCAGAGACCCACAGAAAAAGAGAGAGGTGCGTGCAGTAGAAGAGATGCATGATAGGAGGACGCAGGTTAGCAAGATTGCGTTGCCGTCTGTGTTTGATGTTAGAGCATTGTTGAGAGACAACAGGAATGTATTGGAAACACATGATAGATGTGCAATAGAGAGGGCAAAAAGGAAAGTGTGTAACAAGGAAAATAAAAGATACTTAAGTGCCTTAAGTCACAGGTCTTTACCCGAGTCAGTCTTCACACGAGAAGGCTGAACATGAGGGCTGAACAGATAACAAATAAATACACAGCTTATCGACTCTTGAGTGAAAACAGCTGTGGACCTCTTCACAGTTAGCACAACAAAAGCCTAGCAGGTGAATGGCTCAAATCGAAACTACCGCGGGATAGTTCGCCACTTAAGTGCAGTAAATGAGCAATACAAATATCAAAAGCTTCTTCTTAGCTGACGGCTATTATTCTAATTACAAATAAGTGCAATCAAAATACAAATTATAATGAAAGAAGAAAAATAGAAATAGATTCACATGTTCAGAGCTACTGGCGTGGGCAAGTGGATCATAAATGAACTGAGGCCTGCAATTGTGAGAGGTGTTACAGTTAGGCAGTCAAGAGCCACAAAACGTCCAACAAACGGTGTAGCTGTCACTTTCAGTGAGAATTTAAAATAAGAGGATTTAATGGTGAAAAGGACCTGTCTGCACGGATTAAATCGTGATCCTGTCAGATGGAACTCATTGTAAGAGTGACATGGATTTTAATGCATGACGTTTAACACAGCAAACCACTAAAGTATACTGGAATCACGTGAGAGTCTGTGATTGATTTAGTGCTGGTCTCCCCTCAGGGTAGCAGAAAGCTTGGCTAATTGCAAGTAATCTGAATGAAACTGTTCGTAGCTTTGGAAGTAGCATGTGAAACCGCTGGTGGGTTTAATTATCATGCTCATTTTCCCTCTGTTTAAATTTTTATGTCCTTTGTCATCATTTAATGCTCACTTAAAGATAATCTGTTAAAACCATCAATTTAATAATACTGTTAAATGTAATCTTTAGCAAATCTCAACATTACAATATATGCCTAAATTCACCTGATTAGTTTATTTTAGTTTTTAGTGTTTTATTTTTAATACATTTAGACAAAATAGAATAGAAGTTAGCAGCCATATTTTGAAAATAATTAATGCCTTTTTCAGTATGACCAAAATTGTAATATCACACATTCCTTCAAAATTTGTAATTAAACTATTATGCTAATGATATAATTGGTGATGAAAAAAATGTATTACATTTGTAAAACAGAAGCATAAACTCAAATGTATGTGCAAAATTATTCATGTGTACACAAACACATCCAGGCCACTTTAACATAGCAGCAGAATAAGGTTTTTAGTTTTAAAGGGATAGTTCACCAAAAAATGAAAATTTTGTCATTAATTACTCACCCTCATGTCGTTCCAAACCTTTAAGACCTTTGTTCATCTTCGGAAAACAAATCAAGTAGAAGAACGTTTCAGTTGCGTTGCTGTCAATGGAGGGTCAGAAAGCTCTCGGATTTAATCAAAAATACCTTAATTTGTGTTATGAAGGTGAACGAAGGTCTTACAGGTTTGAAACGACATGAGGGTGAGTAATTAATGACAGAATTTTCATTTTTGGGTGAACTAACCCTTTAAGGCCCGTTCACACCAAAGACGATATCTATAACAGTAACTATAATGTTTATGGTGGCAGCATCATTGATATTTACTTTAGTCACTGTCGCTATGGTTATGTTATATTTGCGGCTATCACGAAAATTGAAAAGAGGAGTCACATCAGTTATTCGTTCATACAGCAGTGGCTTGAATATAAGTTGAATGAACAGGATAGTTTGAGAGTCACGCCCATTGGCGTAATTTTGGTTGGGACCGTGGTGCTTTTTATGGTATAATTTTTATTAGATTTTTTTTAGATATCTGCTTTATATATGCGTGATAATACCTAAGATTATTGTAACTCCATATTTAATATATTTAAGTACTTTTATGAGCAGCAGTGACTAAATTTACTTTGTCAAAAAGAAAAAAAATGCTGCCAAGTTCCGAGTCCCAAATGACTATACACTATGCACTTATACACTGTGTACTTATGCACTATGTACTCAACCATGTACAGTATGAATTACATAAGGTTGTCATTCATAATCTGAGTCTGATAGCCCCTCCCCCTTTGCTACGTAATTTAAGCTGTGACAGTTGAGTGCATGAAGTGTCCAACATTCCACACTTTATTTTTTCGGTTATTTAAGTGCATCATCCGGGTATTTAAAGTGCACTTTTTCTTTTTGAAATTTTCAGTGTGAACACACTACTCGCACTGTTTATACTACAAAATGTCATAGAATAGTGTATAAGTACATGATTTGGGACGCACCTAATGACATGTACTCACTGTCAGCAATGTAAAGAAAGACTTTCAATGATGGACATGTTGCTGCTCTGTCTTTCTCAGCTGGAGGGGAGTGTAAAGGATCGACAGTAACCGTGGATCGGGCACAGGCAGGCGGAGGCCCCCCATGGAGAAGGAGCAGGGCAGCGTGGCCTCCAGTGCCAGTGACACCACCCCTAGCACCACCTCAGCCTCCACCAGCAGCAACACTACAACAAACTCCTCCAGCAGACAGCAGGCTATGCCTCAGATATCAGTCTATGGAGGAATCACAGACAGACAGACCGTTCAGGTAGAGAAATAAATAGCCACAGTCAGTCAATTGCAAGTCCTTCACTGTGCCTCATATATTTGCATTATCCTCTGACACCATCTACAGGCCATGTGCAGCAAGTACTTCTAAAATTAATCAGCATGAGGGTCTCATTCACCATTAATGTGGTGATCTTTTTTTAGTCACGTGCATTTAGAGTTGTTTATTTAGTAACACAGTATTTTTAAATAAATATAAGTAGAATATAAGGTAGAAGTATTAGTAAGTTTTGTTTATCATATGCTTTTATCCAAATGATTAGCAAATGCAAATAATTTAACCATGAGTGATAGCTTTTAAAAGCAGTGGTTATATTATAATAATATATTAATATACTGTATATTATTAGTGGTTGACAGTCCAGTGATTGCCCTGAGGACAGTGTGTACAGATCATGTTAGGTGGGATACTATAGCTATGAAGGGAATGTAGTCATGCTGTCAGGCTGCTGTGATGAATGGCAGTGACCCCACATGCCATATCAGTGCACCCAGCAACCCTCTGTGTTTACAAAGGAATCACTCTGGTCTTCTTTCTGCATGGAATGTTATGTGCTGGTTGGTTATACATTATACAACACAAAATGTTTTGCTTTACACCTCTGTGGGGTGAAATACACCATGAATAATATATGCCCTGAAGGACTTAGTAGACTAGGAGAAGAATCATTTTCACATGTTCATTTAGTAATCCTATCCCATCTCATCTTACTCAGGTCATCCAGCAGGCCTTGAACAGGCAGCCCAGCACAGCGGCAGCTCAGTATCTACAGCAGATGTATGCAGCTCAACAACAACACCTCATGCTACAGACTGCAGCACTACAGCAACAGCACCTGAGCCTGGCTGCTGTGCAGCAGGTGGGCACACACGTCATAGACATATACAGTAGAATGCAAAAGCCATTAAAATGATTTGCTTTAGGCTGCACTTGAGCTGCAAGAACTCCTCACGTTTGTGTAAATCCTGATGATCATGTTCTCCAGCATGATGCACACAGCATCTTGAGCTTCAATAGAAGAACATCTGACCATCTGTACAATAAATTCATGTCAAAAATTTGATTAAAGAAAATAGAACTATAGAAATGGTGAATAGAAATAGTGCTAAGTGTCGTAAATGTTACTTAATCATTTTAGGCCATAAAGTTTCTTTTTCATACATATTTTCAGATTTAAATTAGATTTGGAATCAGACTTTTGGACCCCATACATCAACATATGCATCTGTTAAATGCTTGCTCAAGCTTACTGGCAATGCGTAATGCATGCTGGTACTTTATATTTACTCAAAAATGATTCTCTGATCTAACAAACTAATTCTTGTTCTAATATTTGATCAGCTCAGACAAGATTTTTCTTGTTTGTCTCTCCTTAAAGTGTTAAAGATGAAAGAAATAGTTTGTTCAGTGATTACTCAACATGCTAATGAAACAGAAGAAATGTGCATGCACAAGCATGCTCTTAATCAGGTAGTGCTTTACTGTATGTGAAAATAGTGAGGTAGTGGTTAAAATACAATATTGTGTGACGATAAAAGCAGATAAGGTCTAACGAAAATCACTCAGGGCTCTTTATGAATTGTGCAGTCAGTAACTCATGTACAGGGTCATTCATCTCTTTTGACAAGTATTGATGTGGGATTCTTTGCAATGCCCAGAGGCATGTTTTGCAACATTTAACAAAAATCTGCTCTGGCAGAGCCACATCCTATGGATATTTGAGAAAACCAAAGCGAACAAGCATTTCTTAACACCTAAGGAACAATTTGATTTATATTTTTGGCCAGCATGTCAAGTTTGTATTGTTTGTTCAGTGGATATTGCTGTGAATTAAATTAACAGGTGGAAATAAAGAGCTAAAGTCAGCTAAGCCATTGCTAATATCATACACATTTCATTAAATGTTTGAGACACAAACCAGTTATTACAACAAAACCTCTCAGAATTCATCAAATCCTTTCCCAGTATTGAGGTTTGTGCTTTTATTTTCACACCAAAATAATGTGACTTCCTGATGATGATGTCATTAAGAAACTAGTTAAAGGAATATTGCACAAGGATGAAAAGTGAGATTGAGAACACTGGAGTATACAAAGTATTACCAATCTGAACAATATTTCAAAGAAAGCATGTTTTGTTTAAAACATTTTGATTAAAGAAATGGGAAAAAACATATTTAATATTTCTTAATAAATTGCCAGTTATTTGTGTTAGTTAGTTAGTTAGTTAGTTAGATAGTTAGGTAGTTAGTTAGTTAGTTAGAAGTGCACATGGTAAAAATGGCAATAGCTATTCACTCAAACCAAAACTAGTGAAATGATTTAAAACTCACATCTATATTCAATTAATTTTCTTTTTAAAAAATGTTTATGTTTTCAATATCTGATGGACACATGAAACTGCACTGCTAAATATTAAAAATGGCTTAAAGGATTAGTTCACTTCCAGAATAAAAATGTCCTTTTTTAATTTACTCACCCCCATGTCATCCAAGATGTTTATGTCTTTCTTTTTTCAGTCACAAAGAAATCAAGGTTTTTGAGGAAAACATTCCAAGATTATTCTCCATAAAATGGACTTCAATGGGAACCAATGGGTTGAAGGTCCAAATTGCAGTTTCAGTGCAGCTACACGATCCCACGAAACGATTGGTCATTTTCTAAAAAAAAATACAAATTTATATACTTTTAACCACAAATGCACGTCTTGCACTAGCTCCGCGATGCGCGTCCGCGACTTCACGCATTTATATAATCACGGAAAGGTCACGCGCGGTTAGCTCTTCGTCTGTGTACTCCGGTTCAGAAAGGTAGGGTAGGGCGAAAAACTCCATGTCATTTTGTCCTCCGACTTTGAAATCGTCCGACATCGTTGTTTTACCTTGTTTTGTAAAGGGTATTTGACTTTCTTTGCACGTTCGCTTTGTAAACACTGGGTCGGTACTTCCGCCTACGTCACGCGTGACCTTTCCAACGTGACTATGTAATGCGTGAAGTTGAGCTAGCGCAAGACGAGCATTTGTGGTTAAACAACAAAAAAAAAAAAAATATATATATATATATTTTTTTTTAAGAAAACGGGCGATCGTTTCGCTGGATAAGACCCATTCCTCGGCTGGGATCGTGTAGAGCCCTTTGAAGCTGCACTGACACTGCAATTTGGACCTTCAACCCATTGGTTCCCATTGAAGTCAATTATATGGAGAAAAATCCTGGAATGTTTTCCTCAAAAACTTTAATTTCTTTTCCACTGAAGAAAGAAAGACATGAACATCTTGGATGACATGGAGGTGAGTAAATTATCATGAAATTTTTATTCTGGAAGTGAACCAATCCTTTAATACCTACACTAAAAAAAATGGTGGTGAGACAATTTTGACTCAGAAATTGCTAGTATATTTCATAAATAATAACAAAGAAATGGCAAGTGAAACATTGAATTAAACAAAAAATGTAGAAGTGGAAAAGACTTACATAGTAATTTCTGGTAAAACATACTTAAATTATCATTGTTTTATTAACAACATAAACTTAATTTGTTTGGAAGCAATTAACTAATAATGACCCTTTTAAAAATATTTTAGTTCACAAAATGGAAATCCCTTTTGGCGAGTAAAGTATGGTTGAATATATTGTGTGGTTGTAGAGTTGAGTGGCAGGCTGTTCACACTCTGCTGTGGGAATGAGGGATCTGTTTCCTGCCTCTCTCTCTCTCTCTTCCCTTCTCTCTTGCTCTGGTGCTGTTGTTATTGATTAATGAGTGCTGGGTTTGACTTGTGACCTGTCTCTGTGTCTTTCCTTCTTTTACCATCTCTCTCTCTTTCTCTGGCATTCATTCATTCCCCATAGGCTAGTATAGTGGCAGGAAGACAAAGCTGTAATCAGAATGGCACTACATCCCAGCAGACTGTGGCCTCCCAAACCACTGTAAGTATTATTAAACCTGACATTGATATCTCACTCAACAAGTCTCCAGTGCTACAGAAAAAATGGTAGTGGGCATTACTTACAGGCAACCGCTTTTTTACCTGGGAGGTTCCTTCATTTTTGGCTGATTGTGATAATTGTAATGTTTTGGTCAAGATTATGGTTAATTATTTTGACTACATAGATTTCAGAAAGTAAAAAGCATATGTTTTAAGACTTTTTCTTGTTGAAACAGATAAACCTTGCCACATCCCCTGCGGCAGCTCATTTGATCAGTCGAGCCCAGAGCGGGAGCTCCATTCCAGTCTGCATTTCCCAACAGGCCGTGCTGCTGGGAAACTCCTCCACACCCACACTCACCGCCAGCCAAGCACAGATGTATTTACGAGCTCAGATGGTAAATCCTCTTAACACACACACACACACACACAGGACACGATTACACACACACACACACACACACACACACAGGACACGATTACACACACACACACACACACACACACACAGGACACGATTACACACACACACACACACACACACACACAGGACACGATTACACACACACACACACACACACACACACAGGACACGATTACACACACACACACACACACACACACACAGGACACGATTACACACACACACACACACACACACACACAGGACACGATTACACACACACACACACACACACACACACAGGACACGATTACACACACACACACACACACACACACACAGGACACGATTACACACACACACACACACACACACACACAGGACACGATTACACACACACACACACACACACACACACAGGACACGATTACACACACACACACACACACACACACACAGGACACGATTACACACACACACACACACACACACACACAGGACACGATTACACACACACACACACACACACACACACAGGACACGATTACACACACACACACACACACACACACACAGGACACGATTACACACACACACACACACACACACACACAGGACACGATTACACACACACACACACACACACACACACAGGACACGATTACACACACACACACACACACACACACACAGGACACGCACACACACACACACACACACACACACACACACACACAACACAACCACATGTTGTACAAATGTGCTTTCTAAATAAAGACATACTAGACTTACATAGACTTCTATTGTTTTGTACATAATGCTTATTATAATGAGCACAGATTAAACACTCATTTTATTTTATGAAACATCATTTTATTTTAGTTTACTTTACTTTACTTGTCCTGGAGGATAATGTCACTAACAAACTAGTGAAAGGAATATTGTAAAGGATGTTAAAGGGGTCATATGATGTTGCTAAAAAGAACATTATTTTGTGTATTTGGTGTAATGAAATGTGTTTAT